AAGAAGGGTGTGCCCGATAAATACGTGAAAATTATCGGAACTTTTTAAGAGCATAGTTCGGGCAGGGTGAGGGATTACTGAAAACTGTCGCTGCTTTTCAATATCTCCCGCGGTGTGAAACAAGATTGCCCGCTAGCACCTTCCTCTTTAACTCCGCCATTAAGGAAGTCATGGAAATGGTGTTCGCCGGGCACGACCTAGACGATGTGAAGCTGCTTACATGTGGTCGACTTCTTGACTTAGCGTATACCGACGACACTGCGCCCATCTGTGACTGTAGCAGTCTGGTTTGCTTGTGCAAAATTCTAAGTAACACTATTATTTCATGGTACGTTTAAGCGACCGATGCCGATGGTTGAACAGGTTGTTAAGTCGGATTGCTTGAGTAGAGCACCATCATTGTTGCTTGGTGACTGTTTCGGTTGTAACACGCGACCGCTTCCGTGTGCTGTGCATGTTGCGTTCCCATAGCTAGCAGCGTCCAACGGTGTCGTTTTTTACAGCTAGGCATACAGGGAACCTTTTGCTGTACAAATAAAAGTTTTTCCGCAACCCAATCTATCTTCTGGAGTCGGCATCCGAGCTCCGGCTAAATGACAGCACACAAACGTGCCGAGCTACACTGGAGTAGCTCTTAAATTATTCCCCTTTAAGTCAGAAGTCAGTAAATGGCTGAAGAATATACTTTTCGATAATTCTCATCAGGCGTATAGAATTTTAAAGCAAAATGTTGAAGGGAATAAAGCTCGTGGAGGCTTGTCAAGCTTGGATAAAAGACTGTAAAGAAGGCAACCAACTCACTAACCAAGCAGTATGAACAATAAATTCATGGTTTGATCAGACTGTCGCATGAAGTAGCACGTGTTGGAGGCTGTTCACATAACTATATTGAAGGCCGAGATGAGACGATGGAGAAACTTCACGGTCAAGGTAATTTCGGAGTCTGTAACTATGTGCGCTGTTTGCATAGTTCGTGTTTCAGAACTTTGACTGCGATGGTTTCAGAAATGGCCAACAGATGTTTCTTGAACCGTTTTGGGATGGTACAAACGGCTCGTTCATCTGGACTTGATGTCCACTGTCAAGTGCTGTAAAATAGAACAGTTGATGGATTTTACAGTAACTTTTTGTAGTGACGCAGGACGATGCCCAGCGATTCACTTGAACAAACACCTGGTAGTATGTCCAAGACACCTAGCACCACAGGTGCAGATGAATTGGTGTAAGACAAACGATGCGAACCTGACTGGGAATTCATCCTTTAAACGCGGAAGAATCAACGGTCTTGTTTCGGCAAGTAGTTATAGATTGGCGGTCGGAGATGTCTGGGCTACCGCCATCGATGTTGCTATACAACAGTTCGAAAGCAACGTCAGCTTTAAAAGGAACAGTAAGAAATACATCCCCTTTTGGCACTGTAACGACAGACTTGAGAGAATCGGGCTGTTTTGAGTGCATTTTCGATGAAAGTTACAGGATACCAATTTCCTTGCAATGTGTTAGAGATGAGCCTAGGTTCACTTTCCAGCGTCTCGGGGCTGCAGATTACACTAGCACGATGATATAAGCAACGAACTAAATTTCCCTGGAATTATAGCGGTACAAAGTTAAGTGGTTATCAGTCATTTCGGGTTGTGCATTGCACCCTCGAAAGTCCTTCGCCAAGATTGGTAGGGACCCATTGCTGCGCGGAACCTTGGCGGTGATCAGCTAGAAGTCGTCAAGAAATTTAAGTATCTGGGCAGCTATAGTAGTGCCCGTTGGATTGAAGAGGAGGTCACGAACAGTATAGCAAAAGGTCGGGATGCTTTTGCCAATCCCCGCCACCCGTGGCGCCGACGCGACGTCACTCTTGCTTTTAAGAGCACTTTACAATGAAGTCGTTCGTTCAACTCTTCTTTACGGTTACGAAACCTGGCCCATTAAATCGGCAGACATAATGAGACTAGATACGTTCGATCGGCGCTGCTTTCGAAGCTTAGCTCATGTCTCGAAGGAACACCGCGTGAACAATGAGCGTGTTTGTTGTCACGTATTTGGTGCAGGAAGAGCGAGTGAATCGCTCAGTACCATCATATCACGCACTAGACTCCGATGGTTGGGTCAGGTGATGCACATGCCAACACGCCGACTCTCGCAGCATCCGTTGTTTGCGCGCCCGGAGTCTAGATGGAAGAGAAGGGGAGGCCAAGCGATGACTTGGTCTAGACTATAGAGAAGAGGTTAACAACCTGGGGGTAAGTACTCCCAAAAGGGATCAAATGGCATTTTACCGAGGGTAAATATTAGTACGAGGTTTGGTTATTCTATCAGTCACAAAGGAAAACGTAATAGTAAAATCACCTGTGGAGAAACATGTCGCTATCTGTGTATTTTTGCATAGCCATCAGTGACCGGTCATTAGTCGCTGCAACTAGATGAGGCCTCTATGGGCTCCCGCGGCTATCGTTATTCTCCTGAGTCAGGCAGTCGTCCGCCGGGTCGAATTTTGGAGTCGATTGAAAACTAGTATCGGGGCATTGGTCAAACGACTAAGTAAGGTAGCGCGTGATTAGTTAGAAGTCAGAATGATCAAAACAGGCGATTAGTGTTCACGACGTATCGACACAGAGCGGTGATGGGAACTTATCATTCAGGAATGATTTGGAATGGAGGAATGCATCACATGAGAAGCCACTGACACACGAAAGGGTCATAAGATGCCTTGCATGGAGATAACAGAAAGCGTTTGAAAGTGCACAGAAACACTGCGTTTGGGGACACAAACAAGGTAGAAACAGCAGATTGGACGCCAGTGATCATAAGGTGTTGGGTTGATCACATTCATGTACAGCTGTTTTTTAAGAGAAGCCATAGCAGGTGAGTGGTTTAATTTAATGGCTTTGTTATCCATAATAATTAGTTTATCTGTAAAAGTTTACGACTACGTCACCTACATTAAGTCACGTATATATATATATATATATATATATATATATATATATATATATATATATATATATATATATATATATATATATATATATATATATATATGGTTGGCGGCATCCGGTTTCGGATTTGCCTCTCAGTGTGAATGAAATTTTATCCAACCCCATGCTGAGACTGATGTTGCATTCTTGATGCTTCTTCACCTCAGTTGGGCTAAACCAACTTACACTTAAACTAGGTCTTTTCAAGCTGTATAAATCTCATCCCACTTTATTTGGTTTGTTCTGCCTACCTGAATAATCTTCTATTAACTGGCCACGTTGCTTACGCTAACTGCGCTTATCTTCGGTGACTTTGTTGCGTTTGTAGCATTACTAAGCAACTTGTGAACATTTCTTACTTATCGCAGATTCGTTGCTAACCAACTTACTTCATATGGTAATATACCGAGGAGTTATGCCACCGTATCTGTACACATTATTCGATTTATTTTATTTCACCTTGTCGTTTCAAATGAATGGCTGTTGCATGAAATCCCCGATGTGGCTGCGCTTGATGTGCATGTTGACAAGGTGCCTACCTGTCTATTACCCACTACCTCATTCATACTGGCTCCAGGAGACAGTTAGTCGTTGCTGAAGGGGACGGGGTGCACGGTCCTTGTGGCCGTGCTAGGCTCGAAGAACAGTTCCATGCACTCAGTGTTGAGCGGACTACGGTCCAGCCACTGCCTGGTATGCGCTTGATTCCCCAAATACAGCGTGCTTGTGTTTGCCTGTGAAGGAGTGTGGGCCGGCTCCGTTGTTGAAACGTGGCTCCCATCCACATGCCTCCCGGTCTTATTCCTTCGGGTTTACACTAGATATGGGGTGTGTGGTTGGAGCTGTGGGCCATGGGTGGCCAAGCCACCCATGGTCCCTCTGTAGGCGCAGGCGTCCTGTGGCTGGCCACAGTGAGAGGCAAATCCGAAACCGGATGCCGCCAACCATGTATGTATGTGTGCTCCATGCTGAGGCTGATGTTGCAATCTTGATGCTTCTTCACCGCAGTTGGGCTAAATCAACTTACAGTATATATATATATATATATATATATATATATATATATGTACATATATATATATGTATATATATATATATATATTCAGAGAGAGAAGTGGTTCCGTTTTTGATACGGGTGTCTGTCATGGGGAAAGAACGTGGGTATATTAGGAGGTTTACGCTAACCCAGCTGGGAGATCCGGGTATTTCCCGCTCCGGCGAATGGTTCAGAGGCAGTGTTTCAGGACGTGGTGGGTTTGCACATGGTCAGCGTTCTCCCCATACAGAGTATAAGTGTCTGCTTATCAAAACTGTGAAGTGGCGGATGTAAATTGTCACTAGATAAAGTCACTGCCCATTGTCTTAATCGGAGACATTATACATCGGCAAGCAATCCTAACATCGGATCCTGCGTCTGACTTCGGGAGTGTTGAGTTCCTGGTAGGGCCTTTCGTCATTCGAAAGACGTATGACTGAATAAGCAGTCAACGACTCCCAACGGGTACGAAACCCTTATCTCGCCCTGTTGACTTGTAGGTTAGGCCCTTTGGCCGTAAGAAAACCCACCTACTTTGGCCCAGGCAACCGCGTAGTATCTCCCCTACTGATGAACTATGGGACCACACAAGTACGCGCGCTCTCTTTAGATCTCATGATGACCACTGTCGTGCTACTATGCCAACTCCACAAGCTCACGACACAAATTCATTTACTCTTTCCTGATATAGTTCCCCCCCAAAGTCACTTGATTCTTCAACGGTGAACAACCCTACCTCAGCCGGTGAAGTTGTTCTTTTACCATCCGTCAACTCAACCACACAGTCCTCAACAGGGGGCGGCCATCCCCGAAGTCAGGCATCTTCACTACTGCAATTTAGAATGCAGTCCAAACGAGCAACCATTAATGTGCGCACATTGTTGCAGACCAAACAGCAATCTGAACTTGCACGCATGGTGGAGTCCCTTGCAGTCGAGACCCCAGCGAAACACGGTTTCAGGATTCCAACGCAGTCCTCCAAGTGTCGTCCCCAATCCAAGCACACCCGCTTCCATCTCCCTCTTTCTGGTGACGATGATCCTGCCGCATCTGCAACCTGGTGTTGGGATCGCCCACGGTGCCATAGCCGAGGCCGCCTTTCTTGATTGGATTCCAAACAACAATCGCCTTTGTGCTATGTGGCTACGCGGCTCTTGTAAGGTTAGCAAAGGTCGAGCTGACAAGCGTGTTCCTTTCGTGATCTCCGCCTAAGCGCCCACTGACTGCAGCTCCGATACAATCAAGGACCAGTTCTATCAATATCTTCATGAGCTGCTTCCTAGGTCGCCTAAAACAAACATTCTCATTATGGCAGGAGACGTCAACTTACGCATCGGCCGGCTGCTTCCATATGAATGCCCCCTTGGTGGGTATGATAATGTTCGTTCTGACAACGGAGAGACTGCTCGATCTATGTGCTGACCATGAACTTTTCCTCTCTAGTACGAGCTTACGTCACCCTGAACGCCATTATGTCAGCTGGCGGCTACCGTCGTCAATGCAGCGCTGGTCACAAATTGATAACATAGCCATAAGTCGCACGTCGCACGGAAGTGTACACGATTGCAAATTATTTTGGTCAACTTGCGTTGAAACTGATCATGCTTTGATGTGTTCGACAGTTTACATGCGTTTCGGTGGTTCACTCAGGGTCAAGTAAACCCGACTGAGCACTCACAAGTTAGAGGACCCAACGGTGAAAACTTAGTATCAATAGAGGCTTAGTGAAAATATCGATCTTCCCCCTACCCTGTATGTTGATAAACACTGGTCAAATTTGCAACAAGCCATGCTGTCCGTCGGCTCATCAAGCTCCGGCCTCACTCGCTGCAAGCCAAAAGCTGGATACCAGTAAAACGCCCGGGAGATGCTAGATCATCGATGGACTGTGCGGTCGGTGCGAAACATAACGAACACCGTCGGTCTGTTTCTCAACAGCAGAAATCAAGCCTTCGCCCTGAGCGTGAATCCTGGTGGTCAAAACGAGCTGATGAGATGGAAGCCGCTGCATCGGCTGGAAACTTCCGCGGTTTATTGTACCTCATCAAGACCACTGGTTGCAATTCAAACACTATCACTCAAACAATCTGCGAGTCAGACTGCACGAAAATCATCAATCTACATAGGCGCTCTGGTTGCGGAAAAGAGCACTTTGCTTTCCAATTTAAGTACTCAGCACAACCCACTGTGACACCTTCGTTTCCCTAGGATGGTGCCGTGTCCGCACCAGTCCCTCTACCGAAGCAGAGATCCGGAGCGCAATCCAGTCTTTGAAGTGTCATAAAGCTCGCGGTCCTATTCAGAGATGGCGGGAATGCATTTGTCAGTGAAATCTTATCGTAGTTCACGAAAAGTTGGATTGACGAGAAAGTTCCAACTGCATGGGTAAAACCGGTCATTGTCCCGATTCGCAAGGCTCTCAAGAAGATTGCGCTGATTACTGCAGAATTTCGTTGTGTCCAAGCTTTTCGTTTCCATCTTACTCTGCATGTTTTCAGCGACTAGATAGAGCGTTTCCCGAGGGGAACAATGTGGTTTTCGTTCAGACCGAGGTTGCTTTGACCAACTCTTCACACTCCGCAAACTTCTTGAACTCCGTCACGTCCATCGACGGCTAACAATTGTAGTGTTCTTAGACATCCGAGCCGCATATTATTCCGTAGATGGATCTGCATTGTGGAACTGTTTACTAAAAAAGTTAGTAAAAGTTAGTAAACATCCTGAAGAAATTTCACATTAACACATTGGGCAAAGTCAGGGCTTGTGGCAGGCCTACCTCTTGGTTTGCTGTCACCAGTAGTGTTCATCAAGTTTGCACTAGTTTACTTTTCCTCCTCAAGTTTGCCATTGAAGATGTCGTCCGAGTATTGGAAAGCGTCAAAAGTGCGGTAGTGAGCTTGTTCCAGGTGACAGAGTCACGGATTTAGACCGCACCGATGACATCACTTCGCTTGGGGACGATCCGTAAGCTGTCTAGAGCGCCTTGAAACGCTTAGGGATAGAGGCGTCTAATTATGGCCAATATTTCACCCGTCAAATGCAAAATACTACTTCAAGATTGGCAGATGCCTGTTTGCCCCATCATTGCCGGTGACGTCTTGAAAAAGTCCCCGCTTCACTAATAAGGGGAGTTGCATCACGGCTGGCGGTAATGTTGGAGAGGAGGTCTCACAGCGGATAGCAAAGGCACGCCTTGCATTCATCAGATTGAGACACCTATGGCGTCGTGGCGATCAGTCTGAAGATGAAGTGCAGAGTGCACATTATCTCTATCCGCGCGGTCCTCTTATACGGCTGAGACCATGTCTATTCGCTCGGAAGGAATGAAGCGATTGTCGGTTTTTGACAATCGTTGTCTGCATAGGATCGCTCGCGTGTGGTCGCAACATTACGTAAGTAACACAGAAGTCCGAAACCGAGTGCCTCGAAAACATTCTCCGATTCCACATGCATTGGCACGGCCACCTATTACGCATATGCCAGGCTATCGTTTTCCCTGTTAAGCGTTATTTGCGCTCCCGGAAAGCGATTAGAAAAAGTGCAGTGGTGGACAACCAATGACGTAGAGGAGCATGGAAAAGGTAACCTCTAGCTTAGCATCCGTCGGACCGGTCCGCCTTCCAGGATGGGGATCACGCGACTCGGACTCCCAGTGGTTGGAAACGCTGGGCGCGCAACGGACATCAGTAGAGATAGTGTTGTTCAACCGCATCATCTAGCAGTCAATGTCTAATGGAATATGAAAACATCAAAGCAAAAAACAGAAACGTGTATAGAAACGGAAAAATCGTTTTCTATTGTAATTCATTTTCCCTCTGTCATGGTTCTGATGGCACATTATCTGTTATCAGATCGTGGAGATAAATATACATAATTAATACCAAGGGCAAGATTAAATTTATCCACATAGGAAAACAAGGTGAAATGGATTTAAAATAAATGCAGTGTCTACTTTCCTTTGATTCTGTGCCTCATAAGGGGGAACAGTAAGAGAAATGTGAGAGTATACTCTGGATTAAAAAAGGAGCTTACCCGGGGATTTCGAACGTTCTTCGTCGATGACACGCGAGAACCTATGGTAAAGGAGATGAATATAAAAGGACGAAAGCACACTATAACTCACTCTTTGACGTGGTTAATGTGTGGAACCTGATGACCCTCGACATAAATTTTATGGTACCGCACACCTAACTGCCGTAAAATCTAGTGTATAATATAACTCCTATAGGAAGAACTTACTTTCGGATCATAATATGCCGCGTAAGTAAGGTCAATTACACAGCTGATGCGCTGATGGAAATGGCTGACATAGGAAAATAAGTCTTCAAAAGTGAATCTGTTATGGGTCTCGGCAATGTAGCAAGTACTTGCCTCTGATGAGGGGGTATGAACCTTGATTTATCCTGAAAGAACGAAATAGATGCACTAGCAAAACTGTACCGTGGAGATGGGCAACTTTACTGGTAATAACCGAGTGCCCTTAAGAGGCACACCGAAGGGGCAATAATCGGTCCATCTAAAAAAGAGAACAGAAATAAAAACAACAAAAACGTTAGGGAAGCACATGGGAATCTCCGTCTGGAGAACAGAATACTAGACTCAGTAGACAAAAGAATACTCGGTATCATGACTTCATTCATATTCTAGACATGTAAACTAGGACAATCCAAGCGTATATTGGTCTCTGCTACTTGGTGCCTGCCACCACAGCCAGCGTATCATCACCAGCCATCAGCATTAAAATTGCGGAGAACCGATGCCACGAAGTTAAAACGTAACCAGGAACCAGTGCACAGCCAAAAATACACTCCACAAGTCTGCACTGGGCCAGCATGTGAGCAACGACAACTGCAATACCCCAACAAAAACCGTGACACAACTGTGCTACAGATGAAAAATGAGCTTCACGGATGTCAAAAAGATAGCGGTGTGCGCATGCGTCGTGTAGTATGTGAGGGTAGAGAAAGCACAAAGGTTAATGCAAGGTAGATAAAATCAGAGAGATAGCGGAGACTGAGCGCCTACATGTCGAGTAATCATGACTATTTTCGGATCAAGAGGCCGAAGCACAAGATCAAGTAAAGGGGTCATGGTTATTTTCAAGAAAAAGTCCCAGCGATCAGAAGTTGCGAAGAGTACATGTATCGTCGGAGAGATGATCGGTGGCCAGAGAATGGGTGGTACAGCTTTCGAAGGGCATAAAGTACTATCAACAGAAAGTAGTAACTGAGAGCCAAAGACAGGCAAGTTGACACCAACAGAAAGACCGGTGGCAATTGCATAGAGCAGCGTATTTTTAGCAGCTTTATTGTTAAAGCAGCTGTAGTTAATTGATTGCTTTTCGAAAATTCTCGTTTTCTGATCAAATTGAGGATGCTGAAACCGCTGAAATGTTCGGCTTGTTGGCAATGTGGCGCAAGTGCTTGAGGGTGTCGACGTTGTACACGTTAGCTAGAGGTGGAAAAACTCAGCAATTTTGCCGCAATACGTAAGAAAGGAAGGAGAAAAATACAACCTGCAACCGAAGCATGCCGGCTGAGTCACCAGTAACGGATGGACATCGTTCTGGAGAGCTAACAACCGGCTATCGTGCTGCAAAAAAGCTATATTATGCCTAATAATTAAGATCATGGTAAGAGGAGGCTGAACGGGAGAGGGATGAATGAAGAAACTCACAACAGAAACGCCACTGAGGTTGGCTCCTACCGAGAGTGTACGGGTTATGAACGTTGTCCCCGTCGATAGAGTGATAGATCGAGCGGTGAAATGATGCTACTAGTGCCAAAAGTGGGAACGCAGAGGAAACATGAGGTGAGAAAGGATGCGGTTATCAAGGCTTAGGTAAACTGAATCAAAACGTGATACACGCAAGCGAAAGTGCATTCCGAAAGGGAAGATCATCCCCGCGGTTGGTAATTTACGTGACCCAGACCAAAGAATAGTTCTGTTCTAAGAAGTCAATGTCGTCTTCAATAATGTCAGTTTCTGGGGCAATGAATCAATTGCGCGTGAAGCGCAATCAAAACGCGTGGATGGGAGAGTAATTGGAAGAGGAATCACAGCCAGGTGATTGCGATATATACGTATGTAATTGCAAGGATGTCAGGACAAGTGGAGAAAACAAGTGAAAAAGAAACATTGATGAGGAAAGTCAGCAGATACAACATTGAATACGGATCTCGAAAACGTGAGGTACCGCTTTTAACCGGTGCTGCCGGTGGCTGGTAGCACCCTACCATAACCAGAACAAAAAGAGATGCACCTCAAATCCAATTAGTGGGCTGGTTCTCATGTTGCTAAGTTCAGCGCAAAGCAAGCGCAATAAGATCATGCAGTTAGGTAACCGGTAAAGACCGTATGTCTTGAAAAACCACCGAGTTGTACCCTAGCCAATGAGATGAACGTATCGAGTACCATCAGCGCTCAGAAACAGCTGCGGATAAAAAGAGTAAGAGCTATGTATAGAATTTAATCTGAACCGACTATCCAGTCAGCCGGTCCCACCAAAAGAGGCTGTATAGGAAAGAAACCATAAGTATGCGTCCCAAAAAGAAAAAACACGAAAAAAGAATGGTGCTCTCCACTTTCCTGGAACTCGAAAAAGAGTATCCTGTAGACGTTCATTGGACTTGAAAACTTAAGATAGATCAGTTGTTGTGGAGTTCTCCGAGCTGGGCAACTTGGTTGCAAACGTTTCGCCACCATTCGAGGTGGCATCTTCAGTGCGGGATTGATAGCAGTAAAGTAGCAGTAGCTGGTAGAAAGCAAACCCAATAATGGATAGAGTTGAGAACAGAAATTCTTCGTGATGCCCTTCAAATACGAGCAGTACAACAAGTTAGTATGATCAAGTAAGCTGAATGCCGGGCAGTGACAATAAGGATCACAAGTCTGTCTTGTAATCCGGAGGTAACGAGTTGTAGTCTGCATAGCGGACCGAGCAACCCTTACAGTATCCTTAGTCCATCCGCGACTGGTGGTGGTTGCGCGGCAGCAAAGCGTCGGTACTGCATACTAATGTATTGCTGATGCTTTCTTCGATTATTATTACCACTTCAGCTCGGCTGAACAACCATGATCTGAACACCGAGACACGGTGAATCCGAACGCCACGATTCACTTTGCCAGAATAGCAAGAGAGAAAAACGATAAAATATGAAGTGGAATGCTAATAGAATGCAAGGTAACTGCAAGCAACTAGGAGGCGCAGTAAACTAATCGAAATGGAATAAAAAGCGGAATTCAGGAACAACACTTACAGTGCGGTTATGTCATGTCCGCAGAATCTCAAAACACGCGCTTAAACGAAAGGCGTTTTTTGCTTCAAGTTGATTCGCGTTTATTGCATGTACTTTTTATTTATTTTTCTGCCATCATGAATTTATTGCAGATATGTTGATAACATATTTTTCATATGCTAATTTAGTGAAGAGTTAAGTCAGCATATTCATATGCTTTATTCAAGTTATTTTATTTGATGTCGTCATTTCGTGATCGACTGTTGCTTGACATCTTCCGGTGTGGCTGCGTTTGATGTGCATGTTGCTAAGGTGCCTACCTGTCTATTGCCACCCACCTCGCCTATACTGGCTCTAAGAGACGGTTGGCCGTTGTTGGAGGGGACTGGGTGCACGGTCCACGTGATCGTGCCAGGCTCAAGAATGGCACTAAGCAAATGGTTTGTGTGTGTAGTGGGCTACGGCCTAACCAACACTTTGTGTGCATTTGATTTCCCAAATACAGCGTGCTTGTGTTTGCCTGTGAAGGAGTATGGGCCGGCTCCGTTGAAGAAACGTGGCTCTAATCAACATGCGTCCCGGTCTTATCCCGATATGGGGCATGTGTATGGAGCTGTGGGTGGTGCAGCGCAAGCATCCTGTGGCTGCCCCTATGGAGGAGGACTGGCAAATCCGAACCGGATGTCGCCAACCACTAATATAAATATATATATATTTATATTTATATACACCATAATCAGTGGTACAAATACTGTGTAATCTGAATCGTGACGGAATAGGAAAACAAGATAGGAATAAGGAAAAGGCACAATCAACAGCGCGAAAGTATAGAAGCATCGAAAGTTCGAAGAGGAGCATGCAACCGCAGAGAAGATGGCCCCCAAGAGAATTGTTATGTATGTGAAGAGCCGCCTGAGACCTGAAGATGACGTTTCAATATTTTGGTGCTCAGACGGACATCCTCCGACTTCCAACACTGAACGTGGGTCTGCGTTAGCGACCCATTATCGCTTCTGTATTTGCAAGTGAGAATGCATCGCAACAAGACTGGACCTTAAGGTGGTGCGATGATTTGCACTCCGAAACACACATACAAGACAACAGCGTTTTTACGAATCTCCGACAGCCTGGTTCTAAATCTGAAGACAACGATTACACTCTGCGTCCCTGGCGATACTAATTCAATGGCTCAAGGTATTTATAGTGTTGGTATCGCCCTCAGCGAAGGTGCTGAAGTCAATCTGTTCGACTGGATACCGGTAAGCCGCCGCGTGTGTGCGGTCGGGATTCGAACCTCTATTAGGGTTAACAACCACCACCTGAAGACAAGGTGCTATTTCATCGCCTTTGTTTATGCCTCTACTGACTGCAGTGCGGAGGGTATCAAATACGATTTTATTGCGAACTCTCTTGTCTTCTCCATATGCAAAAAGTACTGACATCGTGATTGTTGCTCGAAACATGAATGCCCAAGTGGGTCGTCGTTAAAACTATAAGCAACGTACGGGAGGCCGTTTCCAGATCAATGAGCGCCCATCAATGGTGATCAATTCCTACGACTGGCGCCGACCACGACCCTTTTTTAGCAGCACTGTTTTCCAGCACAAACGCTCACACCGCGTCACCTGGCACTCTTCAATGACCTGGATCCAAAATGACCACATTGCCATCGGCTACAGAAAGCACATACCAGTCCACCACTGTCGGTCAAGTTGGAGCAAGTGTCCCGATTCCGGCCGTGTGTGTGCTTGGCGCTCAATCCTCATTTTCAAAGAAGTGCCTAAATTCTAAACCTCTCACTTTTACTTCGAACTCGCAGGCCGCATTTCAGCAATATTATGTCGAACTGACCCCTCAATTGTCAGTGATGAATGGGGATTGTGGGCCGAACGCTGACTGAAACCGTCTCAAACGTTAATGGGTTGCATCGGTTAGTGAGGTGGAGAAAGACGGTGTTATTGCGAACAGCCGGACACTATTCCACCTCATCTGCAACACGCGCCCGTGAAATCCATCAGTTAGTGAGACAATGGCTGAGAAAGATGGACAGTTGATCAATTATCAGCCTCGTCAACTTTGAAGAGCAGCACAGCAGGTCCTCTGCGACACTGCCGCTTCTCGAATCACCTGAGCTGATGTGGGAAGAGATTAGACATGAGCTCGCCGTGGTGAAACGAAACGGGGCTAATGGACCTGACAGTCTTCCTCCAACTTTGCTGAAAGATGGAAGTGAATACTGACTGCACTTGCTTCTCCAGTTAACATGACTTGGGACATT